CCTTCTAATTCAGAAATCAGTAGTGCCGCCATTGAATATGTTGGGCATAAAACTTCAGATAACTCTTGTCACATTCGTATTTGGCTTGACTATGCTACTTAAGTATGTTTAAAAGATTGATTCAAGCTTCGGTTTACTTATGCATGTGGAATATATAGGAAGCTGATATATGATTGTAATGCTAATTACTGGTTTAGATATTTTATCTTATATTCTCACTTGGCGATCTCTTCTGATCGGTTTCTTTCAATGTGAAAATTAATCTGAGTATCTTTCTTTCAATGGGCAGTTTTGATCTCAGACAAACAACACATGACTTGTATCTGTTTTACAAAGAAGTTATTGAAAGAGGAGGATTTATTCAGGTTTATTTCTATCACTTGCTCATTCATACCTATTTATTTCCATCACTTGCTCATTATAACCATTCAAAAGGTCTGTCTTGTGATCATTTATCTGAATTTCACATAGACAAGCTGACACTAAGCGATATCAGATAAATGAGTACGAAATTGTTGATGAAATCATGCATGACCACTAGGTGACCTTTTATTTTCGAAATGAGTTGTAATCGCTTTTTAATGTAAGAGTATTGTTGATTACCTGAAGAAATTTTGATTCCTATGAGTTGCATTGCCAACCAACTCATTTTGCCAATCAAATGGTCCTAAATTACAAACCCTAAACCCTATTGGCTACATTAAGCAGTTCATAGTTGCTAATTAATAAGCTTAACACATTTTCAGAAAGTATTGAGTTTCTTCAATATAATGACTTTTATTCTGTTTTATACACACTCAACTTCCTGCGTGCAGACTATATTTTTTCCTGCAAGAAAATCAATTAGATTATATATTAGCACATATACAAATTGTTATAGACCAAAAGAAACTAAAAACAACTTTGAAGTATGAGGGTATTTTGGTTTTATCTAAGCTTACACAAAATCTCATTTGATGAGAATGCATCTTGTTGGTGATCCATCAGCACCAATCAACCTTAAGGGCAAGTATGAGGGTATTTTGGTTTTATTTTCCGCAAGATTAAAAAGTATCAAGTTTATGCATTTCTTGAACTGTGAAGGCAACTCTCCCACAAATCCATATTGTTATTTAGTCCTAGTGTCTCGATGCTAAACAAGTACCCCATTGTGGTAGGAATTTTTCCAGACAAAGAGTTATTGCTCAAATCAAGAAAGACTAAATTTTTTAAAATGGATCCAGCAATCCGGAAGTTCTCCGAATATATGGTTGCTTGAGATATCAAGTATATATGGTTGCTTGAGATATCAAGAATAGTTAAATTACTATCCTTGGTTGTGCACAAAAAAGAAGCTGCTGCCACTGAAAATTTATTATTGGAGTTTGGAGAGATGTAAAGAAGTAACTTCTAATAGAGTTGAAGGGATTGGACCCTCCAATTGGTTCCAACTCACATTTAGCTTAGGTGGGAACGCCGATCTCAAATTTCCAAGTGTTCCTCCAGTTTGATTCTGAGAGAGATCCATTAATTAACAACATGGCCAGTTTGGTTGCTGCAGTAGACTCCATCCCATTGGCAACAATCTTTGTTTTGCACTTCTCTTCCCCATGAAAGGAGGCGATCGTTGTCATCCACGAGGCCTTGTCTGAATGCAAGGAGGGCTTGCATGTCACTCTCACTGCATCCAATGCAAGGATTGTTCATGCGTAGTAAAAGTACCGCAAGAAATGCATACAAGACTTTGAAGCGGTATATTTGCTTCTCATGATCAATGTTAGTTAGAGTCATGACCAAGACGCAGAAGCACAACTATTTAAGAAAAAGATAAAGCACACCCAAAGAATGCATGCATGGAAATCTGGTGAAGTATATTTGCTTGTCTGATATCTCAAGATACAAGCATTAATTATTTATAGCGGTTACCATAGCCTAAACTCATGAATGACAAAGTGGGATTCTTTAATTCTTTAATGCACCAAAAATGGGTGAGTCTTTACCAAACTTATTTTCCACCAAGAGCAACATTTTCTAATTTACCGAGGCATGGAAATCAATAAAGCCCCTTCTGCCAAAACCACGTTTTTCAAAACTGAAATGCCTTTTCAGTGTGAACCCCTGAATTTGAGTTAAAAAGTTCAGTGATTATAATAATGGAGATGATCATATTGCCTCTCTTACGGTAAAAGCTAAGTGATTATAATAATAATGGCATCTACAAGTTCTTTGCATTAAACTGATTGCTATCACAATAGTCTATACAGTACATCAAGCAATAAGTCTATAGTTATTTTGTTGGATTTATAACATATCATGGTGGATATGAGTTTTTTATATGAATGGATACTATTCTCAGTTAGACTTTAGTTTGCACGTTCACATAGTGCTCCCTCTTTCTTGAAGGGATGACATAAATCCCCGTGGGCTGGGTCTCCAACCTTAATGCAGGGGTGATTTCGGGGGAAAATCAAGGGTGGGTATGGAATCCCCGAATTTTAAAAATGAAAAATGATTTAAAAGTCCACTTCAAGCCTTAGGTTGTCTAATTAATACAAACAATTAAAATTTTCCTCTGTCTTAAAATGTTAAGCCGGTTCATTTTAAATGGAACATCAATGGATGTCACTCTCAAACAATAACCTATTGGATGTTAATATTGGGCAGGCTGTCCATGTTATTTTTGGCTTCATTTTATTACATATTTTTCCAACAATTATTTTAACAAAAGGGTGGTGATTTTCCCACTCCCCTTTTATCCACCTACACTCCCTTTTGTGTTTTTTTAAAATACTTTTTACTGTAAAATAAAAGGGGTGTAAGTGGACAAAAGAAGAGTGAGAACATACAATTTTAAAAAAATGGAGTGTAAGTGGATAAAAAGGGAGTGGGAAAATCAGTACTCTAACAAAAAATGCACCCACAGTCAATGTCACTGTTGGCAAATGACATTGGCATAATAACCCGCTTGTTCTTATTTGGAGGCTCTGTACCATTTTCTCTTCGTGCCCTCCTATTTATCTTTGGTAAATTCCCTTTTAAAAATTCCAAGTTGGGGGCCACGGATGGTATTGTTATCCTCATCCCCCTACTAGGCCCAATAAGTAATATATTTATTTTTAAGTAATAACTATGTAAATTATAATATAATACAACCAATCACTATTTAATATAATATTCATTTAGTTTTTTCAAATTGAATGGAGATTATTTTGAGTCATTAAGTTGAATTTTATAATCTAATTGAATGTAATTGATTTGAATGATAATTTAAAGTAAAATCTACCTGTTATAATTGTAGGATAAATTTTTTAAGAAATAAAAAATTGGAGATTCAGGTAGGGTTTGGGAGGCAACTCTCCGACGGAACGAAACCAAACTGTAAGTGGTCACTTAGAATTTCCATGGCTTTGTTCCATGATTTTTATTATGTCGTAATGGAAGCATTAATGACTTTACTTTGAAGACTTGGACTCTTTCATTCCACCAAGCACATTTTTGAGAATTGGGATTTTATAATGCAAAAGAAAACGTAAGTATGTATTTGCCAAACTTTATACTCAACTAGTTTTTTCCAGTCCACCGAGGTATATTATATTGAACTCTCTCAAGTCCCTTTTTACTAAAATAACAATTGTGCCTAAATAGAAAATCACTAAAGCCCCTTTATATTCTAAAATAATTTTACCAAAACCACATTTTTCAAAAGGGAATTATCTTTTTGAAGTGGGATGTTGCTGGTATGCAAAAAAAAAAAGCATGCATTAATTTTTGAAACATCCTTTCAACTTGAGATCGAATTCTTTCTTATCTTTGTAACGTGTTTGAGATATTCACACAGAAGACCAAAATCAGAGTCATACATTTATTCAAGATAAAACATGAAAAAGGACTACAATCTATCATTCATCTGCTACTACTAGAAATTAAGTTCGACACTAATTTCCAAGATGCAAGTGCTCGTCAAGCGAGTCCCAACTCGGGGTGTCAAGTACGTATCTGTGGCTGATGTCGAATGTTCGACCGTTGTCATACACCTCTCTCCTTACAAGGGCAGGAACATCGAACACTGAACAATCGTTGGGGACCGTGGGGTAGGCCAGGCTTGGTGATGACGTGGCAGCGGCGACAGTGAAAACGACAGCACATGGTAGCAGAAGAAGAAGAAGGAAGTGGCGGGGGCAGAGATGCTCTGTTCTTCATGGTTTAATATTTTGAGCTAGCTAGGAAGCATATACTGTACTGGTGGTGTTGTGTAACATGTTTTTTATACAGAATAAATTTAAGATATAGGCTCTCCGATCTTCTAACGAAGTTATTATCTTTTTTAATGTTACACTTCAATCTGAAAAATTTATGATCGTACATTTTTATAATGATGTGGTTCATCAGACGGGGTCAAGTTTATATCATGTTGGTGTTATTACTCTGAGTAGCTCTACGTCAAGTTTATATCATGTTGGTGTTATTACTCCGAGTGGCTCTACGTCTGTGTAGGTTTAGGGTATTCAAAATCTAATATGACAGAAATGCCGTCTTAGCTCAGCTGGTAGAGCGCACGGCTTTTAACCGTGTGGTCGTGGGTTCGATTCCCACAGACGGCGACTTTTTTCTTGATTTGTTGAAACAAAATAAAAAACTATATCTTTTTCTTTATTTGTTGAAACAATAAAAATCCAATCCACTTATATTCACTAAACCAATAATTAATAAGTTACACTTAAAGGTAAAGTAATTGACATTAAACCTAACTCGACATCAATCTTATTTCTTACATCAATCGTATTCATGTTGACATGGTCCTATCTTATGCTTAAGTTTGGATTAATAAAGTTTAAATTTAAATCGTTCTTTATGGTATTGGCTGCATTTTCACATAGAAGATGCGTGACAATAATTAAGTTGGGTTGACTTCATGTTTAGTCTAAAGTTTTGGAACAAAATATGCATGAATTAAAAACATGCAAATCACATTCAAGGCAACCCCATGCTAACGCCATGAGGAGATACATTTTAACAAGCTGAATCTCCATCGCATTGAAGCATTCATACAACTGAGAGAACTCACTAGCGGCACAATGGATCCCAATGCTAATTTGCCTCATTTTGTGGTAAGCATTTTTTCGTAAATCGTTAATTTGCGACTGTTAATTAAGTTGTAATCTTTGTCCAAGTTTATAATCATATGCTTTGCACATTTTCACATACTAACAACAAAATGATTGATATTTGATAGATGACGCCGATCAATGTCGTATGCAGAGGTATGGCATACCCTGTACTACTAATTCCCATCACTATAAGAATTATCGACCTCAAACAGCTGATTTGGCAAGTGTTTCAAGTCCCAATCCTACCGGAGAGGCAAGAGCTCTCCTGCGGGCAGTTACTGAGGGATGAATTGACTCCGCAAGACTATGATATTCCCCCTAATGCTATCATTCATGTCCTTGTAAAAATTCATGTCAGGATCTGCTTGAGCTCTCAGGGCCCTTATTATGACTACGTGGTCCACGAGGGTACTACCATGGGGAACTTGAAGGCGAGACTTCACGCAGATCATGGCGTTGTCATCGAAAATAAGGTACTCCGAATGAATACTACTGATCATGATGATCGTACTCAACTGTGGGCTGCTGGAGCTGTGGAAGGAACTGAGTTATATCTCGATGATCCAAGGCCTCGAGGACGAGGGCGGCCTAGGAGGGGGGGATGATATGGAGAAATGCTTAGCCATTTCAATGGGACAATTTGTTAACTTTGGCTTGCTCGGAAAAATCTTATGGCTTCACTTCACTAGTAGTACTATATTATATAACTAGCTTATAAAGCATGAACTATATTTTAGTTTAGACAAAAATAAATTAGGTAGATTATGATTTAGCTTAATAATGACCTGTTCGGGTGAAAAAAATCTCAGTTCTTAAATTTGCATCTTTTGTTCTTGATCTTACTGCATAAACCAACAGAAACTTCCATATTTTATTTGGACATTTTATTCTCAAAGTTAGTGGATTTATTCAACATGGTGAAAAGAGAGAACAATCAATACTTTTCCTACTCAAATATTATCCACCAGCCAACATTCACATCTAGGCAGCAAGACAACCTTGGATGCACTCCATTTTTTTAAACCAAGTGCTATTGGATCTCCATTTGGAGCAGATATATATGCAGGGTTTGCAAAGAAATGATGTGGTCACTTTGCATTGCTAATAAAATTTGATTCCATCAAACTTTATCAAAGATTGAAAGTGACTGGTTTGAATCTTATAGAAGTCTTTTACATCATGTCTTGTCAGTGATAATATTATTAGATAGCCAATCAAGACCTTCATAGAGTCCTTGTCCAGAGGTGGCAGAAGTGCTTTGGATGTACCTGCACAAGATAATTTCATCAAAATCAATTAAACATGCCATGGCAAACACAGAATCAATAAATGATCAGATTGCAGCAGGCTCAATCTCTCAATTTGCTTTGTTTTTAGTTTCAATAGCAGGTTCTTCTGTATTCTTGTTATAACTCACAGAGGCCTGGCCTCACTGTGATGTTCACACTACAACAGGAAAAGGAATCGCTTCGAATGAAATATCTAGAAAGCATATTCAAGAAGATTAAACCATATGCATACCAGTAACGTAGACCAAGCAAGTGTAAGGCAAGTTTATCGGCAACCTCAGAAGCACACATAGCATTTGGAAGGTCTTGCTTATTAGCAAGTACCAGGAGTGTTGCATTGCTAAGTTCACTCTGCAAAAAGGGACAGCAAGTGAAGGTTTTTATTTCCTTATCTTTGAGGTACAGCTGTAATGTCACAGAAATGTAATAATTCTGCAAGCGTAGATCTAGTTGAGAGCTCCTTTTCATAAATTTAAGAACAAGTAACTTATTCCTCACGGGCAAACCTCACTAACCTCACTTAAAATGTGATGAAGCTCGCTTCGAGCTTCTGCGATTCTCTCTCTATCATTGCTGTCCACAACAAATATAAGGCCTTGAGTATTCTGAAAGTAATGTCTCCACAAAGGCCTTATCTGGTTAGCAGCAAGGAGAAGATGAACACAATAGGTAGTGATCACAATACCAACTCATTATCATTTCCTTGGTAAATATTTTAAGCATATTTGAACCAAAATAATTTCCAACTATATCCAGAAATCAATAAAATCAGTTTTTCTTTACACAGACAAATATAAAAGAGATCAAGCTTGGTACCTTATCTTGCCCTCCAACATCCCAAACAGTGAAAGTAATATTTTTGTACTCTATTGTCTCCACATTGAAGCCTGCTCCATGAAATTGAAGGCAATATCATATAACCAGTGTAAATTGATCGATTGGACTAGTTCGAAACAAATGTTGATGAAAATGACAGAAGGAATGAGATCTGTGGTGTGAGTAAGTATTCAGAACACACATTTTCCTTACAAAAAAAAAAAAAAAAA